CTACTTTCTCCATCTCCCGACATGACTCTTTTTGGCTTTTCTTAAAGTGATTATTAAACCAAAATTCAAAGAAAAACAGAAAGTAAAAATTGAAAGGAATGAGACGAATCGGACTTACCTCTTCGCCGAAGGAGATTCTTTTTGGTGTTTTCGGTTTTGTCTTTTTTTTCTTCAAAACAAAAGCATAAAAATAAACAAAATACGAAATCAAATATGCAGAAGTGAACACTTACCTCGTTGGTCCTTGAACCGGGCTTCTGATACCAAAATGATATGCGCCTCGGGCACTTAGGAGTTTCTCGGTGAACTAAAGGAACGAAAGAAGGATTTTGTTTTGGAATTTTCGTGGGATAATGACTCAAACCTGAGGTTCTGGTCCTAAGACACTCACTCTAAGATTTAGGGTCGAAAGCTACTGAATAAAACAGAAGAAAACGGATAAGATTCTCGGACACACCAAGAACAAGGCTCGGACACACCAAGCAAGGGTTTCTCGGACAAACCAAGGAGATAGCAGAAGAATGCTTAAAAACTTTATTCAATCTGGTTTGTAGACATACATTTCGTCCTCCTTTATAGGGAGAAGAAGAAGAAATGCAAAAAGGAAAGAAATACATTAGGCAACAAGAAAAATGGAAAAAAATGGAAATGGAAATTGTCTTAACTAGAATAAGGAAATTTCGAGATTAATTCTTGCTGACTCCCCAACGGCTAGGTTGTGTTTTGGCAAGAAAATAATCTGATTTTCCATGTCACTTGCTAGCTCAAGATCCTTCCTTATTGATGTGCTGATGTGGCTCGAAAATTGGCTAACTTCCCTTACTTGCAGATTTGATTTGATGATGTGGCTTTGATGTGGATAGTTGCCTAATTTTGAAGCCTCTAATTGATGTGGAGACTTGTCTTGATAAGATGATGGTTGGTCTTCAATTTGGCAAGTCTCCAAGGTTTGAACTTAGCTTCCACTCTCGGCCAAGGCAAGGCCGAGAAGTATCCATGTCTTCTTGCTTGTTCCATCCATCTTGTAGGTTGTTTGCTCGATCCATTGTGCCATGAGAGTCCTCACTGTGGCCTGCCATGCTCGTGTCTTAGACCGTGTGAGGGGTGGTTCCGGCATAGGTGGAAAGATGGCCTCGGTGTTGTTGGTTTCTTCTTCCGAGCTCGGCTCCTCCATGCACTCCTTGCTCTCATCCGATCCATTGTGCTCATCCGTGTCCATGGTTAGGTCGATGACCTCATCAATAAGGTTATCAAATTTGCATATAGATTGTCCTGTATATATCCAAAATAAAATAAAAAAATGAGTTTTTTATATAGTAATATTTTTAGAAAAGATCTTTTTAAAAAAACGATATGAATCTTAGAAATAATATTGGATGAGGGTTTGTAGTTCTTTCTGATGATTCTTATAAGTTCAAACGGATTGATTTTATTTTTTGTGCGTAATGTCATCTCTGTATTATTTTGAAGCCATTTTTATCTCTGGTTTAGTAATTAAAAGCTGGTTTAAAAAAAAATGCAGATTTTTTGTGAAATAAATAAAAGAACAACGTGCGAGCGGTTTTTAATTGGAGGAAGCGCATTTGTAGAATTAACCGGAATGATTCCCGGTTTGAAACCTAAACCGGCTATCCCTCATTGAAATTCATGGATCCCAACCGAACCGAGAATGTTGGCGTCGTCATCACTCATCACGCATTACTACCATTAATTAAAAATCAATCAATTAATTAATTAATTACTTTTTAATATTTTACTTGTACAACGTATAAATACATACGTCCCGGCCGCATCGAACAACAATTCAGCGTTCTCTTCTTCCTCAAACTTTCCTTTTCTCTCCAATTTTCTTGACATTCGATTTGTTCGATCTCTCCGATTGATTTCTTGATTTTCTTTTCTCTCGATTACTCCCATCGTTCAGTTTCGATATTGTTGACCAGAAGTTTTCTTCCAAATTGAAGATCTCAGTCACTTTTTTGATATCTCAGGTTTGCTTCCCCGATCATGTATTCTTCTTGCTTTTGTCTAGGGTTTCTGCTTCATCGCGATTCTCGTCATCCTCCACTCCTGGCTTTCCGAGGAGCTAGGGTTTCACCGATGGGGATTTTTGGCGGACTTTCGTCAGGGGTTTCAGTTTTGTTGTATTTAGGGTTTTGTGCTTGTGACTTCGCAGTTGGATGAAACTATCGGCGCCTTGGATTGGAATTTTAGGTCATGATTTTTCTCCAACGGTTGCTAAAATACTCGAATGATCGTCCGTTAGTGGATTTAGAATAGAAGTAGTTATTCAGTTCTTAGTGCTGTTAGGATATCTGATCGGTGTTCATTGAGAATGTATTCTGGATTTGATTCACGGGTTCGCCTTCTGGATTACCATTGGAGCGATGGAACTCATGTGTTCCTTGATCATGGAAGGAACAGATTATGCTTCGGTCTGTAGTTCAGTCTGCTAAAGTTCATCCCTTCTCTTGTATAGTATGACTCTTGGGGCAACGAAGCAGTTCTCAGGCAGGAAGACGACTTGCGGAGTTAACAGATATCAAGACAGTGCAGCAGATATAGTTGTGAGAAGACCCCGTGCGCCTTATTACAATAGGCAAAGAAATGGTCCTTATAAGGGTTCTAGAAATTTGGTTTGGACACAGGAACACTCCCGCCGTCGTTCGCCTGATCATGACCAGCCACTGAATAAGCGTTCCCGCAATTTGGTTTGGACACAGGAACAGTCCCGTCGATCACCTGATAACCAGCCACAGAAAAACGCTGCTTATGATTCGAATGAATCTCCTTTTTCTGGAATTTCAGACACTACCTTGTACCAGCCCAGGAATGATGTTGCCCATGCATCTAAGAACTCATCTGTTTCAAGCGTTCGAGGTTGTAGTTTACAAAACTGCATTATTCCCAAGTCCCAGGGAACTATTTGCAAGTATTGGATATCTGGAAATTGCAAGTATGGTGAACAATGCCGTTTTTTGCACTCTTGGTGCACTTGCCCTGGGTTCGAGATGATGGCTGCTCTTGAAGGACACAAGAAAGTATGTTTTCTGTTCTTGTGCTTCTTGAATTTTCTAGTATTGAATAATGTAGATGGCATATATTAACATAGAACTAAACTTTTTGCATGTAGGATCTTAAAGGGATTGCCCTTCCCTTGGGTTCCGATGGACTTTACTCTGCTAGTGATGATGGTACACTGCGAGTATGGGCCTACAGCACTGGCCAATGTATGCGCGTGATTAACCTCGGTGCTGAAGCAGGATCTTTAATCAGTGAGGGCCCATGGGTCTTCATTGGCATGCCAAATGCTGTAAAGGTTAGTCTCATAATGTCTTTCCGCTTTTGGTTATCATTTGTGGAAATCTTAGTTCTAGTTTCATGTTTCTTTCTATTATCCTTCAGGCCCTTAATGTCCAGACAGCTAAAGATTTTCATCTAGAAGGACCACTAGGTCAGGTGCATGCCATGGCTGTTGCCAATGACATGCTTTTTGCTGGTACCAGTGTAAGCATTTCTCTCGTTGTTTGCAATGTCATTGCCTTGTGGTCTCGACGTTCCATACTGTGTTAATTGATAAAATGTCTCATTTTTTTATTCTTAATTGCTTTGTATTTTGTTCTTGCTGGCGTCGCAGTCTGGAATGATATCAGTGTGGAAGGGCAACACCGAGTGTGACCCGTTCAAGTACGTTACTTCTCTCACGGGCCATGATAGTGCAGTTGTGTGCATTGTTGCTGGACGTCAGTATCTCTACTCCGGTTCTGTGGATCAAACAATAAAGGTAATTAAATAGTCCTTCCACTGTGGTTTTTTAGTCCTAGGCATGTGGTTAACTATGTTGTTCTTGTGTTTTTCTAAATCAAATTAAATATATTGTTCGTGCTGAATCAAATTTTAGTGATCGAACGGGCTGTGTTAATCGCACAAGATTCTCTCTGTTATTTTTAGGTGTGGGATCTCAACACCTTGCAATGCACAATGACCCTGAGGCAGCATACCGACACTGTCACATCGCTTCTATGCTGGGATCAGTTTTTGATATCGGGTTCCTTGGACGGTACTGTAAAGGCTTGGGCGTTTTCCCAAAGCGGTGAATTGGAAGTTATTTTTACGCACCGACTAGAGCATGTAAGCCAATTCAAACTAATGATGATCATCCTCATTCTCCGAGATTTATTAATCAAAATGATTACGAAATCGTACGAATTGATCTTTGCTTGGAACAGGGTGTTCGAGCTATTTCTGGAATGACAGATGCGGATGTTAAACCCATCATATTCTGCTCCTGCGATAACAATACGGTCTTCGTATACGATTTACCATCGTGAGTAATCTAATGATTGTTGAAAGCATTATTGCATATTCATCCGAGTCCTTAGATCGTATCATATGGACTCAAATTAAAATCTCGTTTTTTGGTAACAGATTCGCCGAACGGGGCAGGATTTTCTCGACGCACACCGTGGGAACGCTCACTATCGGTGACGGGGGACAGATCTACACTGGAGACGGGAGTGGCAAATTAAGGGTGTGGAGCTTGGGGAACCAAAGATCATAATCCTCTCTGATTCGTCCGTTGCTAGTCCTTCGATTTATGTAAACGGCATCATCCACCATTCTTCCATCTGTTTACGTTTTTTTGTATGTAAAAAAAGACAACTTGAAACAAACAATTTCTTTCAAGTGATTCTTCTTACAAATCTAATATGATTGTTGCATCCTTTTCCTTGTTTATTTTGGTATTTTTTTACCAGAAATTGATGGTTATATATAATGCCAGACAAGACAGGATTAAATGATAAAATAATACGCGTAAAGTTCAGCCAAATCATGAGCCACACCAGTATTAACGACTCTCTCATCGACCAAACATAGACAACAGCTTAGCTTTGAACACGTTTGTCGACCACGTAGAACATGCAGTGGCGGACCCAGGAATTACAAATCTCGTAGGTTCATTTTTTTTAAATAAATACGAATTGTATGGGGGCATTTCATGTTTTTTTAATCAAAATTTTACAAAATTTATAAATAAAATTGTATGGGACTCAGGAATTTCTTTTAAGATTACAAGTATTATGAATAAATGGAAAAAACAAACAAATTGATAAAAAAAAAAATCTCAAAGGGAAGGGAAGTCAATATTGCACAAAATAGATGAAAAGAAAGATAGTGCAATCATAAACCCCATTTAGACGTTAAAGATAGCGGGGTGAGTTCCCGTTCTGAACATATGTGGTAGCCGTCGCGAACGTACGTCAAAAATAGGGGGTCATATACCGCATTTAATTAATTAAAAATTATTAATAACTTTGTAATTTATAAATTAAAAATAATATTATCAAACACCCTTAATAAAATAAAATTTATATTTATAAAATTATATATATATATATATATAATTATCCTTTTGTAAAACTTTGTAAGTCCGCTACTCTATGACAGTCTTCTCTTCAACACTTTGATACTTGATTATATATTCTTTATAATTCTGTCTAGCATCAACATCATTATCTTGGTATGATTTTTAAAAATATCCAAATAAAAAATAATCTATAATCATAACGGTATCCTAAAATATAATTGAAATAGTATATAGATTCGAAATCGGAATCCAAAACAAAAAGACATAATTTAGAATTTTGAAATAAAGGGTGAATAGTAAAATGATTTTTTGAAATGAAAAATTTATTTGTATTGTGGTTTTTTCCCAAACTCTTGGCATTTTGAGATTTAGCCAACTCTAGTGAGTCTTTTTATGCATCGTCCTGCAATTATTAACATTATGATAATTTTTTTTTTAAAACAGTTAATAATACAATTTTTAACAAATATTTAATTTTATTTACCTTTTTGATATTTGTATCTTTTGCTTTCATATATTTGGATATTAAAGTACCGTCAAATATAAGTGACACAATGAACGAATGATGTTTAATCGTGAAATTATACGATATTACTTTAATTTGAAAAGTCAATTATTTTCCGATGATATGTGTAAAACATTTGGGTATCTCCACGCTTTTTTTTCACCACCTAAATTAGTAACCTATTTTTAAATCATGTAAAAAAAAATTAGATATATGAATATTGTAATAATATTCATCATGAAGAATAGTTAACAAGTAAAATAATGAACCATAAAATATTAAGAAATTTGAAATATGTAGAATAACGTACATTTGTTCCAATCGATTTCGAAGTCCAAATGTTAAACGGTTTAGTCACTTTTGTATCGAAACATCTTTATCATCATCAACAACTAAATCAACTCGGAACATTGGAAAATAATCGACCAACTATTCGCTATATTGGTCGACCGATTCGTAGATCATCAAAAGCTATATATGATGGAAGAATATCAATACCAAATGCAGTCATAGGTGAATTGAAAACAAAAAAGAGATGCTTTGTACAAAATTATTTTTCAAATATAAATACTAATTTTTTAGCCTTTTGAAAGTGTTTAGACAGATGAAAATTTATAATACGGCTAACATAGCTACAACATGGAGATAATTCTAAACATGGTTATAGCGTGGAGATAAATTGTGTAAACATTTCAAGGATGTTGAAGTATCTTTTAATGTTCGTTTTTGTTAATATATGGAAATAACATTTTAAGAATCATATTCAAAATCTAGAGGCAATATTGATTCCCCTTTCCTTTGAGTTTTCTTGTCTTTTGGAGAAAAAAAAACCACAATACAAATAAAATTGTCATTCGAAAAATCATTTTACTATTTATCCAACATTTTGAAAACTTTATATGTATTGTGTGTTGGTTGTAATGCACAGGATGATCCTTGATATGACATATTGACTTTGTATTGATTCATTTGGTTAATGAATGAATGCATTACATTTCCTTTATATAATTCGCACGATCGTTATATATTGGTATCCTTGAATCATTAGAGAATGATTTTAAACTCCAGGTCAGTTATTATTGTGGGAACAATGATGAATTAAGAGTAGCATGAGGTGTGATTAATGCATCAGATGCATATCACAATCATGGGTACTCGTTGGGAACGAGTGACTGGATAACCCGCATGAGATTGTCAAATGGACACAAGTCATGACTTGAATCTCATACAACGGTTTGTTCTTGGATCCTCAGACCTGAAATGTCTAGAGTATCTGATATGAGGAATGGCGTGTCTTGACACGTCAAGCATCGTCTTTAACCGGATGATTATAACGACGTTTCTCAGATACGTTCGCGAATCATATGGAGATAGTAAACATGCAATAAGGGACTTGTCACCTCCTTAACGGGAGAGATATCACTGGGCCCCTCGTAGAAATCGGACTGAGAAAATGCGTGACCACGCTACAGATGAAGTTGCATCTATTTTATCAGTTGATCTTCCAAGACGAGAAAGCGGTTGAATTTGAATGGTGGCTAGCTCCATGCCCTTGTTCAACATATGATATCGTGAGACAAAGGATCAAAACTCGAACTGTTAATGCCTCGGTTAGATCATCTCTAACTCTATTCAAAGTGGGTAGTCATGGCATCTTGCTAGAGGCTAACCATGACTTGTAGTTCGGAAAAGGTTTCCGAAGTCACTGCCACTACGAATGGGCCTACATGGTCACACACCATTAGGGATGGACTACATGTAAAGAGAAGAATGCGAGAAAGGATAACAGAACGACAGAACGAGTATCGCGAGCTGGAAATGTTCCAAACGTGGAGATCGATCGGTCCAGGACCTAAACCGATCGGTCCAGCATGGCTCAAGACTGATCGGTCCAGGACCAAGACTGGTCGGTCCAGGCGTCAGGCAACTCTTCTTTTTCACGATTTTAGGGTTTTTGGCAATCTATTTTAGCAAAGGAGCCGCCCCAAACCCTATATAGAATTATCCTAAGACGTCCAAAACACATTCTAGAACTTTAGAGAAGGGTTCTCTTGATATCTAAACCTTGGAATATTGATTCCAAGCCCTAGACATCATTTTCTCTTCATAGATCCTAGCAAATCCGTTCCAAACCGTTTGGAATCCTTCCCGCCAGTGTGGATACGTGTAGAAGAGCGCCGTATTTTTAGTTCTTGGTGATTAAAACATGCCTTGGATTAGTGATGTCAAAATGAGCCAGGCTCGCGAGCTGGCTCGCGGTTGGCTCGTTTTTTATCGAGCTGGGATGAAAAAATAAAAGACCAAATAAAAAGGGGCCGAACGAGCCAGCTCGCGACGAGCCCGAGCCCATCCGGGCTAGCTCGGTCGGTTCGCGAGCCGGCTCACGAGCTGACATTAAAAAAATATTAGGGTTTCATACTTTAATTTCTTCACTTCTTATGTTTATATAGCAAATTAAAATTCATGATATATTGATGTTGGTGTATATTTTTTGTTATATTTTGATGTTGTTGGTGTATATTTTTTGTATTGATGTTGATGTATATTTTTTGTTATATTTTGATGTTGTTGGTGTATTACACTTTTTTATGTTGGTTTGGTTTTGTTAATTTTTCTTGATTTAGATATAGTTTTATGGATTGTTATGTTAAATATTTTATGTTATATTGTATGACTTCAAAATATTGTTACTTAGACTTTAAATGATTAATTTTCATGTAATTTTTAAAAAAATTCGAATAATTAGATAAAAACGGGCTTTCGAATAATTAGATAAAAGCGGGCTGGCTCGCGAGCCGGCTCGGAGCTCGGACAATTTGGTCTGGGTCAGAGTTTTTCTAGCTCGTACGGGCCGAACGGACTGAGCCAAAAATGAGCTGGCTCGAGACGAGCCGGTCCAGGCCGGTCCGAGCCAACCCATTTTACATCACTACCTTGGATCGATATAGAGGTAAGTATTCGATTTCCTCGATGATATACACGTTCTTTTGGGTTCTGCTATGCGTTTGGTTGCGTGTGACGTTTGAATAGTTTTTATATAGATCTTCCGCTGCATGAAACCTAGAAATAAAACCCTAGATCGATGTGATCGCATTCTAGGAACCCCTAGTGAATTCCAACATTGTGGTGTTTTTTCAAACTCTTGGTAGTTTGAGATTTAGCCAACTCTCGTGGGTCTTCTCATTGTCCTGCAATTATTAACATTATAATAAAATATTTTAAAGATAGATTATGATACAATTTTTAACAAATATTTAATTTTAATTACATTTGCAATATTTATATACTTTGCTTTCACATATTTGGATCTTAAAGCACCGTTAATTTGAAAAGTCAATTGTTTGTTGATGATATAGATAAAACACTTTGGTATCTCCACGCTTTTTACTTTACCACCTAAATTTGTAACCTATTTTTAAATCATATAAACAAATTAAATATTTAAATATTGTAATAATATTCATCATGAAAAATAGCTAACAAGTAAAATAACGAACCATAAATTTTTGAAGAAATGTCAAATATAGAGAATAACGTACATTTGTTCCGATTGAGTTCTAAACACAAATGTTAAGTAATTTATCATTTCTGTATCGAAAACAGTGAAGAAAGCAATATATTTATCATCATCAATAACTAATTCAACTCAAAATCTTGGAAAAATTATGTAGATTATCAAAAAATTATGTAGATTATCGACCAATTATTCGCTGCATTAGTCGACCGATTCGTAGATTATCATGTATGATGGAAGAATATCAATATTAAATACAGTCATAAGTGAATTAAAAACAAAGTAAGAGATTATTTGTTTAAGATTATCTTTCAAATATAAATACTATTTTTTTAGT